ATTCAACCAACTACACAAACAATCCTAGATCCAATTCTCTTATTCTACTCTTCATTTCCCAGGTGGCATCTCCCTCATCACTTGAGCTCCATATCACCTTCACTAATGAGATCTTCTTGTCCCTTAACTGCTTAACACAGTGATTCGTAATCTTCACTGGATATACATCATATGACGAGTTCTCTCTCACTTGAACCAGGTCGAGATCAATCACGTGAGAGGGATCTGACACATACTTCCTGAGATTCGAGAGATTCAGAGGTAATATTATTCGGTACGCTGCAAACCAATTCTACTTAACACTTTGAATGACCCAATGAACTTAGGAGATAACTTCTGAGATTTTATAGCTCTCCCAACTCCGGTCACAGGTGAAACCTTCAAAAACACATAGTCACCTACCTGGAACTCCAAAGGCTTACTCCTTCTATCATGGTAGCTCTTCTGTCAATCCTGTGCAACCTTCTTCTTCTCTCTAATCATTTTGATCTACTCATTTTGCCTTTGGATCATATTTGGTGCACATAAAGTCGCCTCTCCAATTTCATACCAACATAATGGAGTTTTGCACCTTTGCCCATACAAGGCCTCAAATTGCGCCATTCCAATACTGGCATGATAGTTGTTATTGTAGGTAAACTCCACCAACGGCAAACATTCCTCCCAAGTCCCCTGCTGCTCAATCACACAGGCTCTTAACAAGTCTTCCAGTGACTGGATGGTTCTCTGCTTCTGACAGTCGATCTACAGATGATAAGCTGAATTAAGCTTCAACTTAGTGCACAGTGCCCTCCGCAGGCTCTCCCAAAATCTTGAGGTGAACCTCGGATCTCTGTTGGACACCAAACTAGTCAGCACTCCATGCAGCCTGACTATCTCCCTTACATACAAATCGGCGAGTCTCTCCAACTTATACTTCATGTTGATCGGGAGAAAATGTGCAGTCTTGGTCAATAGATCCACAATCACCCAAATGGCGTCATGGTTGTTCCTGGTCCTCAGCAACCCAGAAACAAAATCCATGGAAATGTTGTCCCATTTCCACTTAGGGATCTCCAAAGATTGCAACATCCCTGGTGGACGCTGGTGTTCTACCTTCGTCTTCTGGACGCTTGTCTTAAAACTTTATTTTTAGTTTAAGCTAATGATCTAACTAGCCACTTTACTGTTATGTCAAAATTTAGAAATTTATTGATTTTTTTAATTTTTCTTGTTATGGTTTCTTTACCTTTTTTTTAAAATCAAAGTCCAAAATTTGATTGGATTCTTTAATTTTTTGTTAAAATCTAAAAAATGACTAACTTTTTTTAACATTTCCATCTATGTCTAAAATATGATTGTTTCCTTTGTCAAAAGTTCAATATTTACCTGACTTTTTTACTTTCTATTAAAGTTCAAAACTTAACAGACTTCTTTACTTTTTTGTTAAAGTTTAGAACTTGACTGACTCCTTTACATTTTTTTCAAGTTTAGAACTTGACCTGCTCTATTTACTTTTCTTGTTAAAGTCTCTTTATTTTTTTGTTAAAGTTTAGAAACTGATTGATTACTTTATTTTTCTTGCCAAAGTTTAGAACCTAACAAACTCTCTTTACTTTTCTTGTGAATGTCTCCTTATTTTTTCTCAAAGTTCAAAAGCTAATTGATCAATTTACTTTTATTGTCAAAGTACAAAACCTAATTGGTTCCTTTTACTTTCCTCGTTAAAGTCTAAAACTTATCCTTTACTTTTCTATTCAATTCTAAAATATAATTGACATTTTCATATTTTTGGAAAAATCTGGTACATTACTTGTAACTTTAATTTTCATTATAAATCCAGTATATGTCTAGCAATCTTTTTTAGCCTAAGCCAATATGTCTATTTTTAACCAAAATTAAATGTTTACTTGATATTTTGTACTATCTCTCTAACACAATCTTCTATATAGTTTTAATGTTCATTTCATATTTTTTTAATTTTATGATAAGTCTGTAATTAGGCCCTCTTTTATAGTTCATATATTCATATTTGACTTTTATTTTATTTGGGTTTTACACTAATTTATATATTAATTATGTAGTTTGGTATAAAGAGGCTATAAGTGGATTTTGGGTGCATTCTGAGCCCAAATTGATGGAAGATTAGAGCTCGGCAGTAGTCAACACGCTCAGACCCATTCAATAAGCATGGGGGTGCTTTGAGCCCATGCACGGTCGTGCTTAAGGCCTTGCACAGCCGTGCTCATCTGCGGGAAGCCCAATTATGAAGATTTTTAATATTTTCAAATCCTATAAAAGGGAAGATTTTTGGCACCGTTTTGACACTATTTTTATCTTGGCTTTTGCTCTGGGATACATCTCATCTCGTCTCTTTTGCACGGGATCTTTGGCACACTCTTAGCGGAACTTGAAGCTTCGAGCGATCGTACTTAAAGACCAGGAACACATCTTACACTCTAGTTTTGCTACTTCTTTTCTTTATGGCTTTATTTATGATTGTTTTAGTTCTTTTCTTTAGCATGAATAACTAAGTCTATAGCTAGGGCTATGGGAACTATTGTTCATGAATTTATGAAATTTTGATATTTGAATCTAAATTTGATTTCTGCTTTGAGATTATATTTTATCCTATTGCGCTTCTTTCTTAATCCTAATTAATTATATTGTCAGGCGACCGTACCACAGCTAATTAATAGATCTATAGGGTAAAACGAGACAAAGAATTAGGTGGACCAAACCAATCTTTCTCTTCTAATCATTATTAAATTAACAAGTTCATAGGTTCCTTAAGCTTTCTTAAATTGATGTCTTGCATGACCATTGGAGATGTTAATTTAGAGAAAAGAATATTAATATTGCATGACCATTGGGTTTTAATCGTATTCGTATGAATTATTGGTAATCACAAGGAAATCAGATTTAGAGTTAAATAGAAAAATAACATAAAGGATTGAATGAAAAAATCCATATGCCCTAGGTTTCTCTCCAATAAGTTTAACCAAGATGTGCATTGTATTCCTTGCTCTTAGTTTTATAATTGATTTTATAAATTCTTGTTTTAATTAATCTCGCATATTGGAAGCTCAACAATTGAATTAGAAAATTCTTAGTAATTGAAAATCAATCCTTGTGAGACAATATTTCAGAAATTTAATTTAAAAACCCTTTATTACTTCTCGATGGGTACACTTGCCCTCTAAACATTTTACAATCTTTTTAATATTACACAAAAAAAAATTATTTACTTCTTTACTAATTCCTATAACTATAAATATTTGTGTACATATTATTTGATAAGAATTGAGTAAAGAACTATGAATATTTATTTTTGTCCAAAAAAAGTTATTTTTTTATATTTTTTAATCCTATTTTACAAAAGCAAAAAAGAAACAATTTCATTTAAAAAAAATTAGTTCAGGAAAATTTATAAAACAAATTTGACTTCTAATGAAAAAATTACACATTTAAAATTAGTTTTACTTCTAGTATGGTGAGAATAAAAAAAAAAAAAAAGGGAAACATTCAACACAATATGAAACAAAGAGGAGAGCACAAGAGAAATTAAAAAAACAATAAAATGATAAAAATTATCATTTAAGAATCAAGTAAGTATTTTTTTAAAATTATAATAAATTTAAATAAATAATTAAAAACAAATGTTATTTAAATAGATATTATAGAGTGTTAACACTTTTCATACATACAATAGATTTTTTAGTCTATTTTTTTTTCAATGATAATTGTTTTTAATTTTTTTAATAAATTTTAGTGGCGGTTATTCTACTTTTAAAAAACATTTTATTCCTAATCAATGGTTTTCTAAAACACTCATCATCCCGTTACAATTCAGGTTACTACATAAGTATTTCAATAAAGTGTATTTCAATCTTTCACACACATTTATTTCAAAATGGAATAAAAAATATACATGAGAGAGAGTAGTTCTTGATACCTCATCTATTTATTTATGCTAAATTTAAACTTCATTTTAGATAAACGGAAAGTAAATAAATAAAAAAGTTTCTGATAACTTCTATTCAACAATTGTAAAGCTGTATGTAATCATTTTTTTTTTTCAATGATTAAACTTTAAATTTAATCATTTTGTATGATCCAAATTTATAATTTCACAAATTTAAAATAAAAAATATTTTCATTATATATATGTGTATAGCTAATGGCGAGACGATATAAATACTCCCAATATCATAAATGATAAGAGATTTTCTAAATTATTTTATGAAGTCAATAATTTCACTTTAAATAAATTAATAAAATTATGATATTACATTAAAAATGTAATTAAATCTTTTTTTATAAGAAATTTTTTATTAATTTACCAAAAAAAAAATTATTTATCTAAAAATTATAAATAATCATATATATCAAGACATTCACACTGAAATTATGTATAAAATGAAACCAATTTAATGGAGCATCCATTGTCAAAAGTATAACCAGGAGACTAAAACTTCAGGGAAGACGCTGGTTAATACTGTCGTTTGACGTTTTATTTTTCTTATTTCATGTTTCAACCCAACCCACTATTATTGAATAAAATGACGCCAAGGTGGTCAACTAGCTTAAAAATTTGTACTTGAAAATAAAAATTCTTAGTATTTCTCCTGTACATGTGCCCGCATAATGAATCATTATGTTTGAATGTTGTCACGTTGTTGAGCTGCCAAACTCTCTATGAAATTAATTCGAGTCCCATTTCTTGTTTTAGAAGCGGATAACGTAGTACTGAAGGCGTCTACCGATTAGATATTCTCGACGAAACACTTCTAGTTAACCTTCTTTCTCTCAAATTCGAGTGATTTATTTAATTCTCTATATATTGGTTAAAATTAATATATATTTTTTAAAGGTTTATAAATACAGACACTGTTATTTTTAATACATTTTTAGTATAATTTTTAACAAAATTTATTATTTTTTATCCCTTATATAACCAGTCACATTGGTTAACAAAAATAATTATATATTTATAAATTCACTTTTTTCTCTTTATTTAAATAACATATTGCTATAAGATATTCCCTTCTGATCTTTATTCTTGTCATGGAGAAAGTACGCAACGTGACCGTACAGAGTTGAACAACATTAATAGATTCAAAATCAATCCAACCCAAAAGCACAAAATATAAAATATCCTATCCAACAAAACACCACAGCCTTAGATTAAATAGCACCAAAAGTAAGAATTCATAATTGAACGAACAATCTAAGCAGTAATACTTCCAGATTCCCTCACAAGAACGTGATTTTCTATCCATCTTCTTGTTGAATTACTCTAGCTAGTAGCTAGTTTAATGCTTCCAAAAGAAAATCCTTGTCTTGCTCCAATCTTCCCATAGCCTCAGGCTCCAAGGTTAACTCCACATCAATGCTCCTCCCTCCACTCTTCCCTGGATACAAATAAATCATTCCATCAAACTTGTTATTAGTTCCACTCCTCACATTCTCTGGCTTCCCCCACCCAAAATCAATGTCATAAACCTTAAACCTAGGGGAACTTCCCACAGCCACACAATTCACCCCAGCATCTTTGAATTCAAAAATTTTTGGTGCACTCTCCCACTCCTTGTTACGTTCATCAATTGCCTTAGCATTATGTGCTTCAATGGCTTTCTGAATCAAAGAAGCCCCGAATTGCGGCGGCTGGGCCGTCAATAGTCCGGCCGCCGTGACGGTGAAAATTGCCTGAATTAGGTTTCCAAAGTAGGTTTCTGGCATCGGCGGCTCAACCCTTTTCCGGCAATCCGCAAAGACGGTGAACACGGTGTAGTCTTCTGGCTTTAGGTTACGTGCATGGGTTACATGGCGCCAAACATGAGTGGAGAGAGCCTGAAAGGTTGAAAATGGTTTTGAACCGTCCGATGGAGGGTTTTCATTGATCGTTGACTTGATCTTGTCGATCTTTGACTCGGAGAACTTGAAGATTGTATCCCTGAGTACAGGCTCGGGCTTTGCCTCACTGTTGGATGTTGGTGGATTTTTGGGCTCGGGTAAGGTGAGGTCCAGCTTCACGCGAGTGTTCCGGGCCTTGGTGCGGTCAAGAAAGGGTGAGGCCGACGTGGATGGTGCTCCGCTGCAGATCTCGGCCCACGAAGTCATGAATTGCCATGTGGCAGTGCCATCTAGGACAGCATGGTTGAAAGCCAGGCCCATTGCAAGCCCATCTACGAGCTTAGTCAACTGTATACATTGCAATGGTTATATCAATGAATCTATAAAGCAATGGCAATTAAAATGAGAACCATGAAAAATTTCAAAAATAAAAAAGAGAGAATGAATGTGATAGGTGATCAGTGAGGCGCACCATAATGGCATAATGTGGTGGCCAACAACGTGCTCAGCAATTTAACACTATCCTTACTGAAATAAATTGACATCTACGACACATGTGGCTTCATATTTATCTATCAAATTGATTTTAGATTATGTAAAGTTATTATGTTTCATCTTTTACTTTTTTACACTGCAGCTATTTTTTATTCAAGATAATCTGTTCAAACTGAAAAATAATAAATTCTAAATTTTTTATAAAATTATTAAATTTAATATAATTTATTAATTAATATTATTAAATATTTATTTTTTTAATAAAAATAATATTTATTAAATTTTTATTATTTTTTATTTTACATATATTAAAAAATAGTTTAATAAAACCTTGTAAAGTTTTCAAACTGTGCACTACTTACCCAGATTTATGTATTTTGCAAAAACATTAAATCAATTTCCATATATATTGCAATTAGTAAAAGAGTATTTTTTTTAAAAGAAAAAAATTGTAATAAAAGGGCATGATTTTTCCCAACATTGTTTTATTTTTTCGTTCATTGTGAAAAATCCTATTAAATTGCTTACTCCTTTTGTGTAGGCGTTTTAAATTGAATATATCTCTCACTATCTTTCCCTTCAAAGTCAAAGATACAATGAAAGGAAGGGGATGAGTGCGGCAGGAATTAAGAGCCACACAAGTTAAGTTAACCAGTCGAAGGCAGTTGTCCCTTTCAGTAGGATTGAATTGTCACATTTAAAAGGAGTAATTTTTTTATTAAAAGAATATTTTTATTATATTGGAAATATAAAAATATATTAAATATTTTTTTAATAAATTTATATTCTTATTATTTATTTAAACTTAATCCTAAAATTCAAGTTAACATTTTATTATATTATAAGCATTTTGTACTATCACCAAAATTTTCAATAGCATTTGATCTTTCAAATAATTATTGTCATAACTAAAGTCATTTAATAATTCAACAATTAAATAATGGTATTTAAGATTTTTAGTGGAACAAATTTTAAGCCTCAATGGTTAAATAAGTAGTTATCATTGACAAACTGAGACACAAAGTTGGAAGTACTGATGTGATGTTTATCCACATTGTATGCAAAGGGCAGAAATGTGATCTCCAAATTAAAAATCAACTATGAATACTACTTGCTAACCTCTTGTGTAAGCCATTTATGGAGTGGGGTGGTGGGGGGTTGTTCAGTTGCCCCGGATCCAAAAAGGTAGATGAGAAAGACACTCATTCACCCCCCAATGTCATAGATCTAATTCAAAAAAATCAATATAGCTAGATGCGGTCCAAATGGATATAAGAGAAAAAGGGTGTTTTGATGACATCAATTGATTTTCCCTATTTTATAATTTTCTTTTCTTAGCAAATTAAGAGAAAATAAACTAAAACAGGGCAAATCACTACTAGTTTTTGCTAGTTATGGAAAAGTGGGTGCATTATGGTGCCATGCAAAACCTCTTTGCAGTTAGATCTACTACAAATTAGCACAATTTTCCCCATACTCATTGTTCTCTCCCACACCCTTTTTTAGATAGTGTTAGTTATCATTCATTATACATTTGTATTTTTAATTAAGGGAAAGTTAATGAAGAACTTAAAACTAAATCAACATGCATTCAACTAAGGACAGACTAAATTACCTGAACTGCTAGCAAGGGCCTGTGCATGCCTTCCAAATTCAAGATACCACTATAAGGTATCAACTCCTTCAAATTACTAGTACTTTCAGCCACAGTTAAATCATCCACACCAATCTCTTCAGCAACAGCTTCAATAACCTCCACACCAAGCATATCATCATCATATTCCACCCTAAACACACCCTCTTCATCTTTCCCTAACTTACCAGCTAGTTGATGGAACTCCTTTAGGACTACACCAAGCCCAATTTTCAGCTTTTGGACCATACCCTCAAAATCTTCACCCATGTAAACTAGTAGCTTTTGGTTGTAATAGAAGGCTAGGTAGGGAAGATCAAAAGTGACCAATTGGTACTCTTTCTTCCCAATGTTCTCTTCAGGTTTCACATGGCTCTTGTTAGTGATTTTGAGATTAAGAGATTCTTCCTTCTTCACAACCTCACTTGCCATTGTTTTTGAGGGAAAAAAAAATGAAAGAAATTGTGAGTTGGTTTGATGTGTATGTGGGATTTTAGATGATTCTTATAGAGCCGTGTCGTTGGGTAGCATTTATGGAATTCATGAGAGCGGTTGTGACCAATTAATAATGCTTGCTGTGTTAGTTTGGTAGGAGGTAATTATAGGCTCAGAAATGTTTGGTCAAAACATGAAAATCTGTTCTTAAGAATTATATTATTTGGTTGCTAACGAGTTAAATTTTGATCCAGTTTTTAGCCAAAAATTATAAGTTTGGTTTAGTTATACTTTGGATTCATTTAATTTAGATTATGTATGTTTTTTTTCCTCTTTCAAGTATTTTTTTTAACTAACTAAATTCCTTTATTTTGAAAATTAAATAAATTTGGTCACACTGTCAATTTTTTTCCTTAAAATATTTAATTTTATTTTAAACAAACTTTTTCACAAAGTAAAATTATTTAAATTTTATTAAACCTTCTTTACTAAAAAATTACTAACTAAATTATCCAATTTCAATTAAAATAATAAAAAAAACTATTTATTCCTTTTCAAAACTTATTCTCATATCCTATAAAACTTTTCAAGTTATATCACTTTACACTAGCTTTTACATTTTAAAAGTAATTTATATTTCAGATTCAGCGTAAACCGTGGAATATTTAGATAAAGGATGAGAATATAATTTTTTTAGATAAAAGTAAGTTTATATAAATATCAAATTTACTTAATTTTAAAAATAAAAAATTTATTCAATTAATAAAATTATATATATATATATATATATTATTTAAGTTAAAAACTAAAACTAAAATAAATTATTTAATTTAAAAATTAAAAAACTATGAAAATTAAATGTCTAAAATATAAAATAAATAAAATTACAACTAGACTTAATTATGATAACTAAAAATATAATTAAAATCTTATTAAATATTTCTAATTTAGTGAAATAAATTATAAGTTATGTAAAATAACTTGCCCAACTAAAACAAAACACTCTAAGTGAGGTTTAAAGTCACACTCTGAGTATCATTTTTTATTTATCACTTTAATATTTTATTATTTTTAATAAAACTTTATTACATATAAATTTTATTGTATTTTTATATTCATACACTAAAAAATTAAGTTTAACAAAAAAAAATTTAAATTTTTTTAATTGATATCCTTAAAAAACTTGTTTATTTTTTTTTTCAAAATGATAATTTTCAGAACCGATCATATTTATTGCTAGAATAAATGCCAAAATAAATTGCCTAGAAATTGGCGTTGGTCTATTAAAACTAAATTTTGAAAAGACCATACAAGCGCCACTCCAAAGAAATTTTTAATTTGATTTAACTACTTAAAATTACATTTATTTCAATGCATCAATTTTTTTATTTATTTTAAATTAACCACTAAATGTGAATTTATGATTAATTTCACTTTTTTCACTCAATTTTAATGATATAATTAATTTACTTAATTAATATCGTAGTCATGTTTTTTTTATAACTATGAATAGATTATTATTAAGTTAACATTGCAAATGATTAAATTGTTTACACGACATAAATTATCTTTTTATTATAAATGTCTATTTTTAATTTTTAATAATATTAATAAATATGTTCGTGCGTTGCACAAATTTGATTTATTTTTATTAAATAATTTTTAAAATAAAAAATATAATTTAAATACAAACTATATATATATAGTAAATAAATTATTATATTAAATATGTTAAATTTTAAAAAATAAATAAATAAATAAGTACATTTTTAATATATATATATATATATATATATATTATGATACATATTATTACTTATTTTATAATAAATAAATTTTATATGATAATAATTATCATAAATTTTAAAAGATAAATAAATAAATACTAACATATTTAAATTTTTTTTAAAATTCTCTAATTTTTTCAAAAGGTTGATAATATCAACATATATTTTATTTACTACTTAAAAAGTATATTTTTATAATTATAAAAAATAAATAAATTTAAAAAATTATGATACATAATAAATTGATGATAATATAATATAGTTTTCAATACTTTTTAATTTATTTATTTATTAATAGATAAAAATAAATAAAATTAAAATGTTAGACTAAAAGAAACATGTTAATTAAGTGAAGTATAAATAAAAAAAAAATTGTTACTGTCATAAATTTATTAAAAATTATATTAATAATAATTTCAGCATAAATACATAAAAAAACTATATGATAATGTATAAAATTATAATATATTAATTTTTTTAATTATATATACAAATTTATTTTCAAAAAATATCATAATATTAGAAAATACTGCAAAATTAAAATTTGTATAATTTAGTATATTTTTAGAGTTAATTGTATTAATTTAAAACATTTGATAAACTAAAAAAATATTTATGATAAAATTATGAAATTAATTTTAAATAGCATATATTTTTTATTTAAAAATCTAAAAATAATATTTATATTATTTCATAATATTATAAAACCATTTGTTATTATAAAATTTTAAAATAAATAGTTATAACAATAATTTATTAATTATAACAAAATTATTTAATGAGTTATAAAGTTTAAATAAAATATCCTATAATTTTTTATTTATATATTGTGATATTTATTTACCTAAATTTATATGATAAATTTTTTATTTATAATTATAATTTAAAATTGCCAATAAATTTGTTATGATATTTTTTATTTATAATAAATTTGTTAAAATAATTCATTCGACTAATATATACAAAAATAAAATTATATTTATTTAACTAATATATGATATTTTAAAAAATATGATTTTAATATAAATATATACAAAACTATATGTTAATATCTAAAAATAAAAATATATTATTTTTTTGTTAATTAAATAAAAATAATTTACAAAAATATTATAAACAAAAATTAACAATAATACAATATATATTCTTAGAAGATTAGTTGTTAATAAAAATAAAAATATAAAATATAGAATTGAGTTTTTTTTAAGTGATTAAAATATTTTATATTACTTGATAACTTAAGAGAATTAATACTAATTAATATTATAAAAAAATTTATTAAATAACTAATTAATTATAAGAAAGTTATGTTGTGTGGTCATAAAATTAAAATAATAAATTTATTAATTTTTTTATGTATTTTTTTAATTTTAAAAATAATTAATATATTTTTTTAATGATATAATAATAGTTTTAAAAAATGTATTAAAATAAAAAATATTAATTTAAATAAAATTTAGAAAATAAATTTAAAATGCTAGATGAAAGGGAACATGTAAATTAAATTAAAAAAAAAAACTTATATTATTGTTAGGTCCATAATTTACATTCATTTCTATCGTCCATATATTACCATCCTCACAGTCAATATTAAAATTAAAATACACACAATGTTGGTACTTCTTAAATTTATAATTCATTCTACTACTAATAAGATAGTTAACTAATCTAAGTTATCTTTGTGGTGCCATCATCCATGTTCCCTTAAATATTTAGTAAGGACAAGGATCTATTTTCTCATTTAAACTTAACACTATTTTAAAAATATACATCACAGTATAATCATAATTATGAAAAATAAGAAAATATAATAATATCAATCTCAAAGCAATATATCACATATGCATATATTCCATCACAAGTCATTAGATTCTTTTTTTTTAAATACGCACTCTCAGTGTAATGTGATCACATATATACGATGCCTCCAGCAGTTCTTGAGGTCTTACACAACTAGGTTAATAATCGTCAGTTAGCCCATGTACACGGATACAACGTATACAATAACGGACTCCTTAGAAAAGGTATAGTCATGAGTCTAGTCAGAAAACGAGTGTATCTCTATAACTATTCACACTAGATCCATTCATCATTTTATACTCATCCCATATTCTTTTTTGTGTAAATCTCATTATTCAAATAAAAGATTGTGCTTAGTAAAGCACTCCAAGACTAAGTTCAAAACACGTATACTACCAAATATAGTACTAACATCCAAAATTAGTCAAACATGTTTTGATAACCTTTCACAACCATCCAATATAATTCAATCATGTATTTACATAGAAAACAAACAAAACGAAGGAACTAAGCTCCAAGAACTTACTTGGAGTTGATTGTTGAACTTCCAAAGTTAGATTCAAAGGAAGGTTGAAGTTTAAGAGAGATTTTCTGAGAAAAGAGAATGAAAGATTAGAGAGAATGGGGGAGAGGTTGAAACATGGATTTTAATCCAAGTTTTTTAGGTAAAAGCCCTTAACTACTATAACACCCCGAATTTTGTAATATTGTTTAATTATTAATATAAGTGTTTATGTAGGTTTTCGTGTGTTTGTGTATTTGACATATATAAAGGTGAATAGATGTTGAAATCTGCCCTTGAGTGCGTGATGATGACGTTGATGTGTATAAATGTGTTTGTTTATGATTGGATTGGATTGATTAGGCTGAAAAACAAGTTATGGGTGTAATACTAGGGCGTTCTCGCTGTAGCGAGAGGGCCCTGAGAGGAAGGCGAGAAACTGTCGCCTTCTCATTGCAGCGAAAGGTCCCTCGCTGTAGCGACAAAGCGACAGTTTGGGGTGCAATCTTGCTGAAGGTCTCACTGTAACAAGATTCTGCAGAAATCAGAATGCAGTTTCCTCTGATATTTTTGCTGTAGCAACAGAGGCCATCGCTGCAACGAGAGTGTCTCGTTGTAGCGAGAATCTCGTGACCTGAAGGGTATTTAAGAGGTTAGGATTTGGGAAAAATCATTTCACACGTCTCCCTTCGAACTCTCTCTCGTTTCCCTTGATTCCCAAGACATTCCTACCGATTAAATTGCCTCTAAAGTCATTCGGGAGTTAGATTGAAGGTTGGATTCGTGTTGGGAACGCTTGGAGGTGAGTTTTCATGCTTAAGATTTTGGTTTCTCATCCCCATTCTTTGTTCTCTTGGTTTCCCTTGGTTCTCATGTTATTCTTCCGTGTGTTTAGGACGAAATTCGTGTGGGGATCACTTCCTTGGGCTGAATTCATGTTTGGGTC